CGGGTCTGTAATTTGTGAACAAAGATTTATCACCAGATTTAAAAAATGGAATAACTCGTGCAATTTTCATCTCTTGGAGTACAACTCCAGAATTAGGAGACAAGTTAATTATATACGTTAATGGTGCGCAGATTAAGTTAAAAGACTCTTTAACAACATTCATGGAAATACTATCATGTCCTGGAGCAGTACCGGATCGAAAGCTGCTACAAATCTCAGTGACTTCTTGTTCTGATGCCAATCGAAGAAAAATGAATCAATAAAGCCTCCTTTCAGGAAAGAACGATGAGATTTGTCAGACGCCGGAATTGATTTAGCTAAGTTAGGTCCAATATTCGTAAAATACTCGCAAAAACGGTTTGCTATATGAGTAGGATTAAATATTTCTTCTTCATTAGATTTGAAGATGGAAGGCAACTTACACTTAATTTTATTCTTGTTAATAAGATCGTTAAGTAATTTCCAAGTTGATTTTGTATTTGATTTATATTCATCTAACTTTTTATTGTAGTAGAGACGTTTAGCAACGCGAAGGGAATGTGTAAATTTGTTTTTATAACTCTTGTAAAGTTTCTCACCGTATGAAGTTGGGTTAGCAAGGAAACGCTTGTATAATAAATTATTTTTTCTTACCGATTTAAGAAGACCGTTAGTTATCCATGGTTTGCTCAAAGTAACATTCTTCACTCTCACTTTTTTGAGAGGAAAGCAGTCATTGTATATAGTAGTGTATTTATCGATTAAACACCGATAAGCGCAATCAGTATCTTTACATTCAGAAAATTAATTCCATTGAACGTTTACAAGCCTATCTTTAAAGTTAGCGACATTATTTCCACTTTTGTCACGAAAAGAAAGCTAAGAAGTTTTATTTAAGTTCTTGTTTTGATCAAGAAGCAGTGTGAAAATCGGAAGATGATCAGATATAGCTCAAAACATTAGCCCGCTAACAGATAAGTTGTTCAAATTATTGGTGAAAATATTATCAATTAGCGTAGCCGTGTTAGAAGTTATTCTTGTCGGACGTGTGATCAATGGAAAAAACCTTCTTGAATACATAGTTTCTAACTGATTAAGTCTAGATTCCAGTCACCAAAAACAGAGCAAATCTTGTTTTCGTTAAATATATTTGCAAGCAACGAATCCTGGCTATTCATAAAATCTTGCAAATTTTGAATTGGTGGCCTGTAAACCACACCTACAATTATATTTTTCTCTTTCGGCCTATTGATTTCCACAAACAAAGACTCATCATCATGCAGTGCAAGAAAAAACTAAGTCAGGTCGACATTTAAAATCAAAATTGTCCGCTAAATATAGACCTACACCTCCACCTGTCCTATCTTTACGTTGATTGTGGACAAAATTATAACCTGAAATATCGGTATGATGCGATGAGTCTCGAAGCCAGGTCTCAGTTATACCAATAAAAGAGAACCTCAACTCTAGATTCTTTAGCAACGTGGTTAAGCTATCCAAATTACGATGAAGGCTACGAATATTAAGATGCAGAAGCGATAAACAACTATTGACTTCTAATATATTTTTCTGATGCAACATTTCATTGAAGTTTTCTTCGGTATAATATTCGCAGTCAACTAACTCCGAGAAGAAATTAGCATCAGGATCATGATGGCTACAAAGGCTAAATTTTTTATAGGTTTCAGATAATAAAGGATTAAACCTGAGGCTAGCTAACCTATCGGGATCGTAGCGTATAGGTCCATTTAACTGCTCAAACATAGCCAAACGAAAGTCTTAAGTCTTACGTCTCACATCTGACCGAAACTTAGTAACCAGGTACTTACCAAAACTTACCTGATAGCAACAAAGCATAAACGAAACCTAAGAATTTGTTCATGCTTAGCAGTGCGTATATCGAGTTTTGGATGCACGCGGGAAGTTTGGAGAGCAGGAAACATGCGTAAGAGTAGCTCGAGGCGCAGCCGAGAGCAACTCTAGCTTCTTGAGTGCTCTCCAAACTTCCCAGGTGCATCTATAACTCGATATACACACAGCTAAAAGGATGAGCAAATTCTTTTATAACATAGCTGACAAAAATGCTTGCTTTTTGATTAAGCACAAAATTCTCGTAACGCGCGACACATAACAAACGCTTCTATTGGCTGATTACAAACGCGCTACAATCGTCTAGTTTGAATGAAAATTCTTTAAGTAAAACGATCAATGGAAACTAAGAAGAAACAAAGGTAAAAAATTCTTAAAGTTCACCTTAAGTTAAAATACTCACATGTTCGCAAGAAGTCGTGGAGTATGGTTTGGATTTGCTGAAAACACGTTTACGTTTTGCTCGGCGAAATCCAGAAAACACGTTTTTTAGCGAAGACGAATGTCATCCTTCTTTAAACGTACATACATTTACGAACATTGGCTGCTCATAACAGCTTAGTGAGAAGACCTGGCAGCAAGTTGTTTTTGTGAGAAATACAAATTGGATATTTTCCGACACAGACCAATTTCTGGTCTTTTCCCACTTAAATTTTCAAAGAATCATTCAGGCTCTCTTATTTGCAAAACATCTTCACCGCTTTTGCTGTTGGTTTGAATGGCTAGAACGAAGCCAAATTTCAAACAAAATCTAGAAGGTTTTCCATCATTGCCGTCGATTTTGGGTACTTAGGAGAAGGAGACGAAAAACACAGCTCAACACATCATCATGAAAAAAAAAAAAAAACCTTTATTTACGCGCGGGCGTGCGTAAATGAAGAATTTCTTCATAGCAGCTCAATAGGACTTATATAGGGCAAGCACGTGCGCTATGTTATAATACATAATGATTTGCACTAGGTCCTGCAAAGGTGAGCTTCTTGTATAGTTACTTGAATTTGAAGTTTTTGACAAGGGAGTGAGTCCGATGACTAAAGTTAATTATTACCTTGGTTCTATAATTCTAAGAAGAGTTGATGGTTTAAACCTTTAAAATTGTAAAGATAAAGGATCAATAAAACTAATTACTAGCGGATATCAGGCTTTGAGAGTAATTATTTTGGCCGGAGCAATTAGTTAAAGTTTGACAAAATTCGCAAAATAATGTTGCACTGCATTGCTGTAGGTCCGTATGAGGTGCAAAAACTGCCTCAATTTCAATTTTGTCGTCAAAATCAACCAGAAAACCGAAAACCTTAGAGACTAGCTCTTTATTTTAACTATTAATTTTCTAACATGTTTATCAACACACAGGACTGGTTTTAGAATTCATAACAGATATCATTATTCATTCAAAATATATCCCAATTCTGATTGGCTAAAAGCACACTCATAATTCACCATAATTAGTGACTGATGAGTGTTGAACGAGGAAATGACGTCGAAAATGCAGCCCGCTACAGGTTAAGGCTCCTTTACCGAGAAGACCTGGGGACGAGGTTGAATTGTTTTGGTTGTAACACCCTCTTCGATCTGCTTAATTCTTCATATCTTACGAAAGCCGAATTCATTAATTGCTAATTCATAAATGTCCTCCAAAGAGGCATTAATTGAAACTCCACATAAAATGCGGTGGGAATTAATTTGCAATTCCATCTTTATCTTGGAACATATGTACAGTACCAACTGAGAAACATTCATGGAATCAAGGTTTTAAGAAGTCATATTTACTAGACAAAGTAGATTATCTTTTCTATGAGCAATAAAATGTAATTATGTGTGTATTTAGATCCTTGACCTTATTGCTATTATGACATGAAAAGACTAAGTATAGCCCTAGAAACCAAGGCATCTGCTAAGTATAGTTGACCCTAGCAATGTGATGTTTATATAAGGGTTCAAGGTAGTATAAGAGTCAAAAGTTACAAGAACAAATTTTATTGAAAATTATTTCAGCTTTGAGATTGGTTGGAGGATCCAGGACCTCGGAAGGGAGAGTTGAAGTATTTCATAATAACACCTGGGGAACAGTTTGTGATGACTTCTGGGATATAAATGATGCACGTGTCATTTGCCGTCAGCTCGGGTATCCTGACGCTATTATCGCTCCAGGGTCTGCCAGATTTGGGGCTGGAAGGGGTCAAATTTGGTTGGATGATGTAAATTGTCAAGGCAACGAAACTTCAATTCTCTATTGTGGGCACAGAGGATGGGGCATCAATAACTGCGGTCACCTTGAAGATGCCTCAGTAGTATGTTATGGACCAGGCTCTAGAGGTAAGAGTACTAAGCATGCTTTCCTTGTAATACAGGCTTGAATATTCCACTTTCTGTCTCTAAGCGACATTCTCGTTAAATAAATAAATAAATAAGTAAATAAATAAACAAATTTATAACCAGTAATAGAAGTAACAGATAATAATAATAGTTATTATGATAATAATTATAATTTTAATTAATAATAAATGATGAAAACTTTAAAAAATATAAAATAATAATAATAATAAAAAAATAATAATAGTAATAATAATAATAATAGTAATGGTAATGGTATTGTAATAATTATGATCATAATTTTATAATGCAGTGAAAATGATAATGACAATAATAATGATAACGATAATACGGTGATAATAATAATGATAATAACCATATCTATTACACATTTGTCAAAGCTGACTGGCTATCAGCCTGCGTGGTAGCTGGTCTTGTCACTCCTCAGGAGGAGGAGAAATAGCGGAAGCGCCAACAAAGGGTGCTAGACGTTGAAATGGGATCTTTCACTCGCGTAGTTTTTGGAACCAACGGTGGGATGGGAGCCGGCTGCAACTGCTTCCTCAAACACCTAGCCGAGAAGCTCTCAGAAAAGAATTAGGAACCTTATCACATGACTACTACTTGGATTACAACGTTGCTTTATTTTGAGATTTTAAGGTCGGTACACACATGCGTAAGAGGTTCCAGGACACCCTTCCACAAAATTCCACGAGGGGATTTCATTGATGAATGCCACTTAAATGCTAGCCAAGCGTGTGTCCGCTAATTTTAGAAAGTGATAATGGCGTGAGCTTGTAAACTAGTATTTTAGGATCTTTTTAATATTTTTATTTCATCAAAATTTTAGTCTATAATAGTGGAATGTAAATTGGTCATATGATGACTGCCGCTTAAAAGCTAGCCAAGCGTGTGTCCGCTAATTAATTAACTGATAATGAATTCGAAAAAACATCATGTAAATAAGTTAGTTATGAAGTTTGTTTCCTCCTGTATGAAAATACGTGATTCATTGTTAGTAATGTAACTTAATTAATTTTTCTAGATTATTATTAGTGCTGTTTCTTCTATATTTTGATTGTCATATGCATGCTTTTGCAATACTGTAAAATGATGCGGTCATGCAAATAAAGCGATTTATTACTTACTTATTACTTACTTACTTACTACTACTACTACTATTACTACTACTACTACTACTACTACTACTACTACTACTACTACTACTACTACTACTACTACTACTACTACTACTACTACTACTACTACTCCTAATACTGCTAATGCTACTGCTACTGCTGCTGCTACTACTGCTGCTGCTGCTACTAGTAACAACAACAACAACAACAACAACAATAATCATCATCATCATCATCATTAAGCGTTCTTCCTTGAAATCTTCCTCTCTAAGGTTGCTCCAGGACCATAAATAGTACGTTTGGTGATATTGAGGTTAATGGTACAAACAGCTATTATGAAATATGTCACTGGACCATACTAAGTTCCAGCATATCCCAGGTCGTGGCTCTGGTCTCTGTACGAGAATCATATCTCGTCTCCTGCAGGTAAACTGAGTGACGTAGTAGATTCTTGTAACTAACGAAATGGATAAGAATAAGTCGCATTTTTTTTAACCTACCAAAGTCAACCGGAATTGCTTTTTATTTCCTGATCGTTTTACTTAAGGTTTAGTTGTGTGGGACTCTTGCGAAAAAATGTTCTTTAGGGAGCTGAAAAAAATCCATGTTCGGGCTGCTAAGGTGCTAGAATAGCTAGATCATGCGAACTGGTTTTCATTAAATAATCTATATGATCTAAAGTTATTATTACGGGCCCATAAGTTGTTTTTACCAAACTGCTCCCGAAACTAACCAGAATTTTTTAAAAAGTACGTCTGCAGTTATAATTTACGAAGAAAGCTTGCCTCTGATATAACTTTTCCCAAAAAAAAAAAAAAAAAAAAAAAACTTAAAAACGGAGGTCCCGTCTCACAGCAGTTTCACTGAATTGTTCTTGTGGGACGTAAAAGAACCAACATCACTATTCGAAAAGAGTAGGGGTCGTAGACCCGGTGGTGTGGCCAACATTTACGGGTTGAGGGATTGGGTAGGGATGGCACCTCGCATGCGACCTGAGTCCCGTTCGTGCACATTCCCTCTCACGATGGTCGGTTGCTAGAGCTTTTGCTCCCATACCTCTCAAAACTGAGAGTTTAAGGCCATAGAGAGAAGTAGAATGCATCGAATGTAACAAAACTTGGCAAGGAAGTAAGTTGATAAATTACCTATTTATTGGTGTTTATTTCATCCCATGTGACTTCTATTATGACGTCATAAATGATGTCCAAATTTGGCATCAGAAAGAAAATTCAGGAAAGAAATACTAAAAATTTTACATTAGTTTTCTGTATAGAGTTCTATGATTTCTGGTGAAAACCCCATCTCAATCGGATGAAAAGGCGCAAAGTTACATTTAATTAAAGAAATTCAAATTTCCCGCCAAAATGACCATATATGGTCAAACTTTAGGGGTATTTTAACGCGAAAACAATGAAGGTAGTCGCAACGGAGAAAAGACAAATTAGCATAAAAACAAAATTGTAGTTTTTTGAGTTTAGGATGTGTGGTCTATGACGCGTATTTCGTCACGAATTACGTCATTTTGACGTCATAATGACGTAATTTGTGACGAAATACGCGTCATAGCACCACATATGCCGAATTCAAAAAACTACAATTTTGACTGCTTTGTCTTTTTTCTGTTGTAAATACATTCATTGTTTTCGCGTTAAAATACCCCTAAAGTTTGACCATATATGGTCATGAGGCGGGAAATTTGAATTTCTTTAATTACCTGTAACTTCACGCCATTTTATCCGATTGAGATGGGGTTTTCACTGTAAATATTGTTTTTCTGTAACAAAAATGTTTGTAGCATTTTGAACACTGCTTATCAAATTTTTAACGTTGTTACTAAAAATAGGTGTCACTTATGACGTCATACTTTCAAGAAAAGTCAAAAATACCTTTTACAATTGTAAGAATTTAAAGAAAACTTTTCTCCAATTAAAATGTTCTAATGTTTTGCTTCATTTGAAATGTAAACTACCCCTCTGTAAGCCAGAAATTGAATTTAAGAACCAAACGGGAGCAAAAGCTCTAGCAACCGACCATCGTGTCTGGGCAGGCCTGTGTCCACAAAAGTTGGTAAATAAATAAATAAAGCTACTTCGTGAGTCCAGCCCAGCTGCTACAAAGCACAGACATTGTGGAACTCTCTGGAGACTCACACAGAAGAATTACCAAGTGTTGACTCTTTTAAAAGGACACTGAAAAGTCAGCTTTTTTAAGTAAATATTTGTAGACCTTGAATTTTATTGTAGATAGTATTATTGATTACTTTTGATAAAGATTTTCATGATATTTTTAGTTTTAACAGGACCACATCAGCTCTGCTGTACTGTTCGATCGTCTATAAATCATTCAATACTATTGTTTTTTTTTTCCTTTTTACCCTCTTTGTGAATCTGAACAGCTGATGATAACCTTGCTTGAAAAGAAAAGTAATATACCTAGAAGTATAAAGTAAAGGCATTTTTGCTGCACAAGAATTGTCTGCCAAACGTTAGGACTTGATTGAAGCGACCTTCCGATGTGTCATTTCCAGCAACGGTGTCTTTTAAATTTCCTGGAAGCTGATGTTTCCTGGCGTTACACTGATTATCAATACCAATGCGCCTATGATCACTGTGCATTATCATTATTATGTATTAGTGTCATTTTCATTGCCATTCATCGCTTTAACTAACACTATCTTTATTATCATTATTATTATCAGTATCATAATCACTATGGTAATCATTATCGCTATCTTTGTTATTATCATTATCGTTATCACTATCATTGCAACTGACATAAGATATTTTAGCTGTTATCAATTGTCATATTTTGTCTTTATCACGCAGGGAATATGTGAAGATCACTGACGGAGTAGGTACCGAGGTTTTCAATCAACGAGGGTGCGTGCCTTTCGCTACAGAGAATTTATTGGATGTACAGTTTGGTTCGTCCGGTAACATCTCAGTTCAAGTGTATTTAGAAAGCGCTCAAAGCAGCGTGAAAATCAAGTTTGCGGCTTTGAAGAATGGCATATCTTCAGGTATGTTTTAGTCGATACAGTGTACTAATTTTATTGTTTCTATTTTATTCGTTAAGTGTGTACAGTGTAGTTGTTTCCTTACGATAGTCCAGATCGAGAGCTCTCTATAAAGGTGGCCATCTTATTTCAACCGTTCCCTACCAGCTAGGTAGAATAGACCTTATTCACGATAACCGCCATCTTTGCACGCGCTCTGGGTTTGATGAGATAAAAGCAGTGTCACGTGGTACTTCACGGGGCAAGCAAGTGATAAAAATTGCCAATACGAGTAAATACTGTCGAGTTTGTTTATTTCATCAAAACGAGACAACGATTTTCAATAAACATGCAAAATTTAGAGTTGGAGTTTCGAGAAGTTTTATGATATTACTGTTTGTTGTGAGGAAATCTACGCTACCGCATTTAACGAAGTATATATGATCACTTTCACCCATACCGAGTAATTTGCCATTACCGTCTCTAAAATAAACGTTCTTCATCTTCTGTTGTCCAGAATGAGCAAACTCGACCGCGATTTGTGTTCAAAAGAGGTATACTTTACTTCTCTATGATGATTGACAGTTTTCAACAATGACTTTTTCAGTTTCTGTGTAGGATTAACTCTTAAACTGATCGTAGCTAGACTTTAAGTTCAAAAAAGAGAGACTTAGTCTATGGAAAGCCGTTTGAGGAACTCGAACTAGCGATCGTGCGGCTGCTGTTAGGATAGCAAACCATTTGGCATTTAGCATTAGAAGAGGTACTGCATGACTCCCTCCCCGGAAATAAGAAAAACAATATGGCCGCCAAATAAATCCTTTTGCCTTTTAAAGTACTCCTTTATTAA